AAAGTCTCATTTGCATTAAATTAATTAAAGGCCGCTTTAGACTATATTTAAACCGAGACTGACCAGACCTATGTACAAGATTTTTCCTCACTTACATATTCACTTTTCACTTTCTTTGTTACACACACTTTGTCTCTGTCCTCTCCCACTTACACACACACACATACAGCATGTGTTACAGAGTGTGTGTCGGCCCAAGGCGCGGTTCTAACCCCTCTTACTTCTAATTGATGTAAATGGAAGGAGTGGAGAAGGCTTGGAGAGGGCTGACCTTGTTATATCAGGGGCGGCTCACCCCAATTAATCACAAGATCCTCGCCCAGATGCTTCAAGCTAATAAACAGCACTCTGAATAAAAAAAAAAAAAAGTCCCTGCAGTTGTACAGCCACTCCAATGATTGTGCTACCTGCTCAAGATTAAAGCCTGCTGTGAGTAGAGAGAGGGCAAGTAGCACTTCTAACAATGCAGGGTGGCAAGATGAGTTAGTTAACGGCTGATGAGAAGCTGACTTTTTTCTCTCTCTCTCTCTTTTTAAGCATTTTACTCCAAATTGCATGTCAAATTACCCTTGCAGTGGAATACCCTTAATGAGTTCCTCTTTTCTTGTGTAAATAGTCATTTTCCAACCATCCTTCACCCTGTAATACTTACCGGGGATTTCAGGGATTATGGGAGCAAAATTATTTCACACATTTTAAAAGGATTATTTTTGAACAATGAAGGACGTGTCAGTCCCCTCCACAATACACAATGGCCTCTGTGTGATTTTACCATTTGAAAACACAAGCGAGGCGCAGACAATTGAACAGGGTGAATAGAGCACACAACATCAGGGAGCATTATGTGTTCATATCATAATTACATTGTATATAGCATGTCCTGTTGTGACATTTAAAAGGAAGGCAACACAAATCCCTCTGCAAGTGTGTGTCTTGGTGCAGCTGCTACTATTTAATACTTTTCAGAATATTTTAAAGGTTAATTCTGTGATTTCTTGCGTGCTATAGCAGCTGCTGTTTAGGTCATATGGGCAAATGCAATACACCACATCCCATGCCATTTTGATGCATGCCTGATCAATTCAAATCCCCACTTTAAATTACAAAAACAAAAAAAAGAAGGGGAAAACAGTCCTGTAAAGGTTATTCAAATGAGGCTAACCTTTATTCTGTATCATTGCTGTTTGTGAACAAGACTTGATTGCATCATCTGATGGACTGGGCCCTTTCAACTCCCCCAGCTGGACCCTTTTGTATATCACAGTATATTAGATGTTCCTTCCTATTTCTTTTTCTCTTTAGATCTAAAACAGAGGTAAAGACAAATAAAGAGGGGAGGCAGACACAGGTCAGGACTTAAAGGCAAACATTAGGTACGAGAAGAGAGGGAAAGTAGACAAGGGATTGTAGGTAACATGAAAGCAGATGGGAAGTGAAAGAGAGAGTCAACATCCTGGCCGGCATCCCAGTATACACCAGCTGTTGCTGTAACTTCACCCCACAAAACACACCTCCCCTCTTTTTTCACCGCCTCTGTTTTCTGACTCCTTAAGCCAGGAGAAGTGAAAGCTTGTGACAAGTTCTTCCTTTAAAGTATCTGATGACATGCCATCACTAAACCAGGGGGTCCCATTGTCATTCCTTTCAGAACAGAAAACTAGTTGATGCTACCGAGTTGTCCTTTGCTGTGACATTTAAGAAAGGTAATCCAATGAAAGGATTAACATGTTTTCGATTATTAAGGCTCTGTTGTAGCAGACAGCTTTGTCAAACTTGCAGCTCCAGAGTGCACCCAAGCTCATAAAGCTGCAGGAACCACAATCTCTGAACTTCAGATGCTTTTGTTTGAGTGAACTAAGGTGGTGTAGTTAGAGCCTGAATGAAATCCAAGTGAAAGTGTAGAAAAACTCAGAAATAATGTCAGTCTTGTGGTCGTTTTTGTCAGTTGAATAGGGGTTTTACTAAATGTGATACTTTTATTAAATAATTGTTTATTTATTCTATTTTGGAAATTCTGTTCTGATCTCAATTTATTCTTATACCATGGTTTATATTATCTTATTTCGATTTATTCTATTATCTAATTCTTGATGTTATTTCTTTCTTTCTTTCTTTCTTTCTTTCTTTCTTTCTTTCTTTCTTTCTTTCTTTCTTTCTTTTTCTAACAGTTGTTTACATTGGGAAATGTGTTTGTGTGTGTGTGTGTTTGGGGGGGTCTCTGTATTAATTTTTTGTCACATGTACAGTACTTTGCATTACATTATTGTTAATTAATAGATTGACTAATAATAGCTTTTATTTCACATGTTGAGTCACCTGATTCCATAAAAAAATAATGCTTACTTCTGAATTTTACAGAACAAGTAATAAAATGTTATGTTTGTCTGACTTTTCTAGTGTTAAATCTATTATATTCTTCTTTTTTCTGCTTAAATTGAATTTTTTGTGACATGATATTATCGCTTTTACTCTATATAGTAGACTACGTATCTAATTTAACTTTTTTTAAATTATTTTTTAAACCTTTATGTAATTTCTTAGATTCACATACATCATTTATCACAATAGCCAATTTATTACAAAGCAGTTACTCAAAAAATGTATGTACTGTGATATAATTGTGTAAAATTTTGACGCCTCAGTTATATATTTGAATTTGGCAGTATAAAAATGCCTATTTTACTATCATCCACAAAAAATAGACAAAGGTTGTTTACAAAAAGCTCTAAAAAAAAAAAAAAAGTTTAATCTACTAATTTATTAGCCTTTTCTTTTCATTTTCATACTTCTTGTTCAAATTATGTTCATAATTTTTTTGGCTTCTTTCAAGCTTATAGAGATAAATAATCTCTAAATAGATTCTAAAATGCCATAAGATGATGAAAATAAACACACGGCTTAACAGTGCAGCTTGTTAGTTGAGTAAAGGACGTCCTTATTCGATCACAACTATGAAAAATGAAATCTGCTCTGGTCAATTAGCTTCTAAGTTTCCTGTGTACAATGAAACAGCAACAAACAAGGAAGAGCGAATGAAAAGCAAGTAGCTCAACATAAAGAAACCAAAGAAGTGTTTGCAAAATTAATGAGTGGCCGTAAACGAAGTAGATCACCACCAATTGCATGACATACGTGTGTACGTGTGTGAACAAGTGGAGGTGGATACAAAGGGTTTGCGTCTGGAACATGAGGTGACGTGTGTGTGGAGCCTCTCGCTCTCTCTCTCTCTCTCTCTCTCTCTCTCTCTCTCCTCTGTGTCACATCAAAGTCTGCAGCCTGTTGGCTTGACTTACACCTCATCCAATTAGTCAGCAGTATCTCAGCGACCCTGAAGAATAGCCGGCTCTTTTCGAGACTCCACTGTCACATGATCCCAGGTAACAAAATACCCAGGACTGCTGACACACATGCACACACACATACACATAAACACAACTGTGCACAAACACCTGATACCTGGCGATAAAAGGAGGCAGGGAAAGGGAGTGGGCTCAGACGTCAACAGCATTAGCGGAACAAAAAAACACAGGAGGGCGGAGGAAGAAGCCAGGTACAAAATAGATGGCTCATAATACAGCGGGCATTGTAACGAAATGAATTTGTCGTTCTTTTGTGTGTTACAAAAGAGCTAATTGAAGCCCAGGCCTCCTGCCCCTTGTCTGTTGCTCTTTTTGGCATGTTAAGTATGCTGTAAGATATGCTGATTCTCACTTGGACTGAATTATTTAGGCGGCCAAGAGGCTGCAACTGAACAAGTGGGAACAAAAGAGCAGAGGATGTGCTGTTCACACTGCACAGGTGTGTGTATGTGAAGAGGGTTAACATGTTTAACTTGAGTTAATATGTGCTGCAACAGTACGAACCAGACTTTTGAGGGGCAAAATAACATATTCAAAATTGTCCCGTATCACAGAGGAAAAAAGCTGTGAAAAATCTGGATCTCATTTCCACATTGCAAACCTTCAAATTCAAACTTTTTTCTTCTCGTCAACATCCCAGTCGCTCTCTCTCACTGCGACCATGACGCAGCATTATCAAGCTCACAAGGACATCTCGGCTCCCTGTAACCGCATGTCTGGAATCCAATTACTAGGCAGCAATTTATGCTGTGTGAGGATGCATTACTATTTCAATATTGAGATGTCAAATTACACACAGGGCCTCTAATGCACTCTGGCAATCATAGCCCACTGCTCAGACTGTCGGCAACAGAACTGTCAGTGGACCTTGTCACAGGGGAAGGGGAATCTGATTCTCTCTCTTTCTCTCCTTCTCTCTCCCTCTCTATTTCTCCCTTTTTTGAACATGACTTCCTTCGGTTATTTGGTGCCATTGTACCCCCCCCTTTCCTCCTCCCTCTCCGGGTTTGGTTGCCCACAGCTCCATGGCAGGGCGATTGATGAGGAAGCCTCAATTCCCTGACAGTTGACATTTACCAGGAGACTCTCCTTGGCATGCCCACGTTGTTGGCTTCAGCTCTAACAAACAGACAAGCAGACAGCTGGAGAGGCCTTTGGAAAGAGAGGGAACAAAATGTCTCCCTTAAAAGCCTTATAAACCTTTTTAGTACATCTTAAGAGTAATCAACGAATATGTAAATTAGAAATACAGAAAAATCCTTTAATCCTTTAGTAATTTTACAGAATCATATGATATGGAAGCCCAGAGAGGCCATAAAAATTAACTTTCTTAAATTAACTAACAAAGAATGAAGATTAAAAAAAAAATGAATCTTGTTGATTGCGAACCAATGAAAAAAAGTTCATTTCATTTCAAAAGTTTATTAAACAAAATTTTGAAAATGTGTTTTGAAGTTTTACAGTGCCAGTTATATTTGTCAATAAATATATTATAATCCATATTCATGTCGTCTAATTACTAAAAGTGTTCAAATTGCTTTCTGAATCAACTTCTGTGGTTTATTTTAAGTTCACTGTCAGTCAAGTCATCCTCGTCTCTGATTGGTTAGTTTAGAGACATGTGACGAACGAGGAAGTGCTGTTATTTTAAAGTATGTTGAGCATGGGGACAGTACGAGTGCAGCTAGAGGAAGTTACTTGTCTCCATTTTGCTGTTCAACAAACTCTGGCGCTGTAGTTCTTCTACTTCCCACTTTTTCTCAGTCATCTTTCTCTGCGACTTGTTACATGTCATCCACATTTCCCCAATTTGTCCAGCGTCACTGCTGTCTGCTACTTCCTGTTGAATTCTTCTTCTCTGCCTGTGTGGCGCTGACGGTCTCAGCGGTGGTCCTCCAGTACAAAGGCTGACGTGAGGGCGGGTTTACTCCGAGGAAGGCTCATCCTGTGAACACAAAACAGAAATGCTTTCTGACATCTTGTGAACTTGTCTCCATCCCTGGGTGTACCTTTAAAGGGGGGGAGGGAGAGCGGGCGTAGCGGCAGCACTGAGGCCATCAGGGCCCTCCATACTTACTTGCCAGGCTCTGAATTTTTAATGCGCAAAGCCCGCACAAATGCATGGGCAGCATGATGTTGTCACCCCAGCATATTTTATCACTGATCAAACATTAGTCGGCAGCTGTTGTAAACTTGTAGCTGTCTCGGTGGCAGCGGCGGTGACAGGCTCCGACACACTGCTGAGAGACGGAGGCCCAGCTGGCTGCTTTACTTACTTACACTCTGGCTTTGTGCAAAAATAAATAAATAAAGAAGTGTTTTCTTCACCTCGAGCGATAATCTTGCTCTCTCTTCCCTCATTTGTCTCTAACTTCTTCTTCTTTCTCACTCTTTCGCTTGTACCTCTACCTCACATTCTTGTTTTCACACTTACTCCCTCTGTCTCTCTCCCCCTTTCCTCCCTCCGTTCTCTCCTCCTCTGTCGTGCCTTGTGATTTCCCAAACTGCATGTTTTGTGCCCTTGCAATGTTAGCGGAGACACACAATGTGTATCTTACAGTGGCTACCTGAGGATGGAAAAAAAAAAAAAAAAAAAAACAGAAGAAGAAGGGAGAAGTACGAAGAGAAAACACCGTACCTCTGGAGTGTTGGGCTCAAAAAGAGAAAAAAGGCGTGAGGGAGACATTTTGACAGCGTGAAGAGAGAAGGTGGGAACAAACTGTGACACTACAAATGCCGTGTGTGTGTTTCATGGCTGTGGCTTGATCTCAGAAGAGTTTCAGATGTAATTTTGAAGCTTGAGGGACTGAGAAAGCTACCTGATATCATGCCACCTACTACACATTATGATCAAAACTGTAAGCCTTTCAGATCACCTGAAATTAGGCCGATTGAAAAGAATAACATGATTAAAATTAGTTTAACTTTTAATGCATCGATGTTCACATTTCAATGATTAAGTATTGCTAATCGGATATAATAATGACTTTATTTTGCATATATAAAAGTCAGTACATTATGTGACAGTGTTTTTCCTATTGCCTCCATGTGGACACATTGTCAGATGCATGTTTGTGCAGCGTAAAACATCATTCCAAGCAAATATATCAATTTTTCATTGCTTCATTTATTATGTAAATTCCTCAACTGAATTTTTCAGTAATTGGTTAGGACATGAGACCCCCCTCCTCCTCCCTCCTCCCTTGCTCCATGTGTCTCTTTTGCACAAAGGCGGTGCTTGGACGGCTCACTGGTGGGAATTACCTTTTGGCTGGCACTAAATAATTTTTATTTCTAATTTATTTCATGACAACGGGCACACGCAAAGGGAGAGTCCCCGTCAGCCAGCCAAGTGCCTTGTTGGCAATGATTGATTACCCAATATCTAATTAGCTGAGATCCAATCACTTATTATGCAGCGTGTGGGACAAACAAACTTGAGTCAACTGTCAGCCGATTGATTGATGACACTCCCAATCCTGCTTTTGTTTGCTCAAATGTCCCAATGCTTGTTACAACCACCAAAGCTAGCTCGGACAATGGGGGCTGTCACTCTGACGAGGAGTCACCGGCCCCATGTCTTTCTCACCAACGGAAATGTTCATTTTTGGTGCTTGTGTGCACGCATTTGTCAGTGTTTGCAAGCGCTGTGCATCAGCTGAGACCATGTGTGGTTTATTTATGTGTACATCTGTGTGTGTTTGTATCCTTGTGTGTGTTTCTGTGGGGAAGACAGAGTGAGATTTGTCAAGTTGTTGGCCCTATTAAAGGCAGGTCTGCTCCCCTCACCCCGAGGGCAAGTTCGCCTTTCACAAAGGGTGAGAGGGGACAGGAAGCCATATCATGATTAAAAAAATACAACAGTGAAGAATTACATAGAGAGGAGACATTGTTCTTCACAATGTCACTCTAATTCACTCAGTTATAAACACTCAGATTGTTTTACAGGATTTTAAGCTCCTGATTTTTATTTCATCCTATCTCAATATTCAGATACAAACATGCACAATGAGTCACTGCTCGTACAGGTAAAACAAAACAGGTATGGAGGCGATGTGTTTGTTTTCATGCTCCATTACAACACGGAAACTGAATCCCAAAATGCTTTAAACAACTTTGAGTAAGTTCTGACCTGAAAGTTTTGTGTCATACATGGTATCTGTGATGCAAAGCTTTTGTCTGTTTTTCACGGTAAACAAAGGCTTGTTTATGCAGTTAAGTTTTAATAATTCATGAACAGTCACAGAATTTTTTATGATCATACAGTTTTAAATGACACAACCTTTTAGTTTCAAGATAACCGGTTTGGACTCTTCCTGCCAACATAAGAGTCGAGTCTGCAGGTCTGTTTCTTTTGCTTCTTGGCTGACACCTACTCCCTCATACTGGCATTAAAAATGACAACATTCAGTGGGCACTCTTGTAGGAGATGGTCTTCTTTGCTTTTAGATGTCATAAAAAGACATGAATATGAATTTCAGTCTGTAATAATCAATCTGTAAATTTCAAAGACTCCTCAAAGGAGCTTTAATTTGCTGAAAAAAACTTCTAACTTCATGGGCTGCACAGTTGTCAAAGTATTTAGTCGCATTAACTTGGAATCAAGTTGATTGACTTAAAGTAACAAAGAAAACAACTTTGCTGTATTTGCGCTTATACGTTTTTTTTTTCTGAGGAGTAACTTTAGAGCTGTGAAGCTACATGTCGTCTTCAGTTCTTGTACCTTAGCATAAACAACTTGTGTTTTGTAATCTTCATCGTTTTTTTTTTTTTTGGTTCTTTGTTGTGTCTACACACAGTTTAATACATCTGTGTTTGATCCAATGTTCCTCTTCCTTTGAACAGCAAACAGTGCAGCGAAATGACAATTTGACATCATTAAAAATGCATAGCGACTCAGGGGCCTCAGAGGCTTCCATTAGTAAATAGGGTTGAAAACTCACTCATATGTGCACACACACACACACACACACACACACACACACACACATAAAGAGGTTTGTGTATCTGTGTGTGGGGGTTATCCAGAGCTGACATGTTCAAGGTTCAAGGATGAGGGCCTCTGAGAGTCAGCTGTAATTTATTGTGAGATATTCAGCATCTGATCTCAGTGACAGTAGCCTCTGGCTTCCTTCATAAGAACCGAAACGTCTCTCTTCCCACTCCAGGTGTGTGTATATGCATGATCGCAGGGGCGTGTGTGCCTGTGTGTTTAAAGGTCGAATAGAGAGATAGCAAGGGTTGAATATCTGACACACATCAAACAACTGAAGACAGATGCCTGGACAGTATTAATCAAAACTTTCCCATTTCCTAAAGAATTAATCATTAAATAATTAATTTGGCAGCTACAGGCAGCATTTAGAGGGGGCTCGTGCCTTCCCGCTGGTTAGAATTAGTCCTTGTCGAGAGGCTAGATTGATATATTTATTATTTATCAGATTAATCATGGCTGGAGACATTAGGATCCAGAGTTGAGATCATACTAGTCATAGTGTCGGAGGGGGTGAGCAGAGACAAAATGAGAGAAAGAGACAGAGGCAGGTGGCAGCTGTGTGTGGTGATTACACTGCAAGGTGGTCAAGGGTACACTAGAGGGACTGGACTCACACAAACACACACACGTATGCTTGTCAATCTAAAGAGTGTGTGGCAGGCAGAGTGTGTGTGTGTGTAGCCTGAAGCACTTCTTGTTCCTAAAGCCAGTGCAGCGGTGTGGAGGAAGAGGGGGGAAAGGCAAAGATGTCATTGATCCAAGAGTCCCTCAGAGGTTAGGGCAGGTCCTGAGGTCATTTCTGTTCACGATAAATGTCTGAGAAAACCCCTGAGGGTGTGAGGACTGACCAGCTCATATCAAAACAGTATCTGCCTCTACCTCGCCCTCATTACACAGCCTCCATGGCAATCTCAGGCAGATTTGTATCTTTTCACGCTTCTCTGGGAGTCGGGCGTATCAAAGTGTTAGCGTCTTCAACAACTGACATTTTTTTACAGTGTAGTGAAAAAAGGTGACAGGTGCATTTTGTGAGATAATTGTTTTTCTTGTAGCATATTTTCACAGTTGTTTTCACACACTGGGGATTGATAAAATTACACACATATATAAATATTAATAACAACATTTTCCCTTTACACTGTCACATGTATATTAAGCTTATGTTATAGAGATAAAACAGAAAAAACAACAACAACAAAAAAACAGTGTTATCATATTGTACTTTGAAAATACATGAACTGACCAACACTATGTTGTTTTTGCTAAAATTCTTCCTCAAGAAACACAGACATTAACTCTGTGGTCATTATTTGAAGATACACAGACGGTTTTTCTTACAAACATTGTGTCAGCGAAAAGTTTTACACAGCAAATTTTAAAAGGTATAGGTAGACATTTTGTGGCGTATTTCAATGTCACACTTTAATAGAACTTTTTGTGTGATTACTTGTGAGTTTCTGAACTTTCCTTTGCAATCTCTCTTTTCAGGACTCAACATTTTTTCTCTGACTGCAGCATGAAAAGTGCTGTAACATACCCTCCCATGTAATAGAAAAATCTTGCCTCACAAACTTCAAATTATTCTCAGAGATGTTTGTGTGACACCCACTGTCAATAATGATTAAATATTATAACCCAGACTGTGTATTTTTGTCTCATATTCTGCTTCTCAAGTAACTCTGGTGCTCAAACCTGACTGAGAGAGTGCTGAAATCTTGAAATTTGGCCATAGATCTGCAGTCCTTTAAGTTTGGGGGGTTTCAGTGGGCTTTTAAACAGAAAGAGATCAACTGGGCAGACTTTTGTTGTGCATGCTCAAGCAGCTTGTATCAATTGTTAGCTCAAGTCAACAGACAGTATCCTAGCTAGACTAAGTAAAAACTAATTCAGGGTCATTTCTTGGTACACTTTGGCATTTGTTATACTGAATAGGTGATAAAATAACACTAGGGTGACCATTCATCCCCTTTTACCCAGACATGTCCTCTTTTGTGGGGAGGCGCTGTCCGGGCTGTCCGGGGAAGTTTATAAAATCCTTCAAATATCTGTGGTTTTGCACGGAAGTTTCAAGTTTGTGTCACATGGAATAACTGAGTTAGAAGCTCATAAAAGACACTCGACCTGAAAAACTCTCAAAATTAACTTTGTGCATCTCCGCCCCGGCGTAGTTGTGTCCTCTCTTTGGGAAGTCCGAATATGGTCACCCTAAATAACACGTCTCTTATATGTGCTTGATTATGAACTCAAATCACATTTGTTGAAGTTTTATCTGTCTATAAGTGAGAAATTCTAAAATATTGAGAGAAAATAACAGATTTAACCGTTTTACCCATCATGTGTGATGTGTAATAAGATGTTCAACACAGAACAAACTGACAGATTCCTTGTACCACTAGGTTCACAATAATTAAAACTGGATATGGTGCAAAATGTCTTGATGCAAAAAGTGACTTACAGTAAAGTGGTATATTATATTTAGTATGAATGCTTGAGTTCCCACACTTGGTCCTTCATGTTTGACATTCATCTATATTAATGTTTCCTGTGAACTATTGTAGCTGTGGCATTTGTTGTCGTTCTCTTGTCAACTTGCTGCCCTCATTGCTATCGTTCTATCCCACTCCACAACCCACAGAGTGCACGCTTATCAGTTGACAGGGTAACCCCAGCAAAAAGGGGTTCCTGGTTGTTCAATGAACATGTTAAATGTTATGATTTCAAATCATGGTTGCCCAATAACCTTCCAAGCATGGTGAGTAGAATGATGCTTGACATACCTCACACCAGAAAACCATGTCTTTGTTGGCTTTTGTCAGAAGAGCTGAACTGAGAACTTTACCACATAGTGCGTGAAGCCCATGTGCTCAGTTACGTAATAATACCAGTTCCCAGCTGGATGTTATTTATATTATCTCTCAGGTTGTTTGATGACATTTAAGCAAAACCATGTTACAAGCTAGAAGCAGTATTTTTATTCAAGGACTTTTGTGCCCCTCTTGTAGTACAACCCCCTGCCAATGACATGTTTGACTGTTCAGCACTGAAAGCAGCTGTTCCGGCCACTACGTGTTAATTGAAGCACAGAGATTAAATTATTATTCCACCCCATTCACCTTTTTGTCTCCATTCTCTTCCTCTTCTTATCTCCTAAATGGATCTGGCCTGCAGATTTGGAGGGGTAATTGTACATCGCAACACAGACACTGAGATGAGAAGTGAGAGGGCACTCCCTATACAGTGCCCGGCTCACACTCTTTCTCTGACACAATCAAAGGCGGGTTCATGTCAGTGTGAAAACCCATTTGTGTTCAAAAACAAAACACATCCTCAGCTAATAATGGGCTAAATCACTCAGTTATCACCAGCCATGCAAAGCAAGACCTCATCAAGTGGGGCTCCAAGCCCCTCTTTCTATTGGAAAGGAGGACGCTTAGGGGGGGAATAAAAGGTGGGGACTCAAAGAGGATCCCCCTTTTGTGGGGAGGAAGAATCCATTTTGCGAGATGATTTGGCTTCAAATCTGCAGGGACTAACCCTTGACATGAAGTCATATTGTGTTGGAGTTTTAGCCCTAAATTCATACATCAATTATTTACTGTCAACGTGGATTGTATAAGTGTAGGAAATTACAAGGGATGGGTATTTTCTCTCAGGCAGAAAGAATGTGATACATCCTAACCTAATGTGCCTGAGCTGGTGTCCACGCAGCGTCCGAGGGAAGAATTATTTATGCATTAGAAAACAGTGTGCTGGGCCGAAGGAAAAAAAAGAAGGCAGACACATTATTTTAAACCTTTCATAACATGCATCAATATTTCAGCAGAAATAAATAAAGGATGGCAGGGCTTGTTTGGAGGACAGCTGTAGCTCGCTCCGCTTGGCTAGCTTGGAGCAGGGGCTCTTGGGATGCCACGCATACCAGCCCCTAGTAAAACCCCTCCATCTCTTTTTAATCATCCACTTAGAACAGGGCGACTGGAGGAGCTGTCAAGGTGAGCTCTTTCGACAGGAGAGGATGGATATATTGTTGTTATATTGGATGGAGGGTGGGGTCACTCTTGGTTTCGGATGGCATGTTGCTTTGTTTAGCCATGTTTGTTGCTCCAGTTTGAGCCCTAAGTCCATTTGTTTGAGTTGCATTAAAGTAGTGATCAAAGAAACTTGTCCTGCTTGTATCCATAGACAAAGAAAAGTCAAGTGACCCTCGGCACCCCAGTTGAAATCAAGAGTGAATTTCAACTTAACGTAAAATGTATGAAGTTCTGTAGACCTACTGTTTGATGATAACCCTCTGGATCTCAGGCAATGGCAGCCTGGTAGATGCTGCCATTGGTACACCATTGTCATTCAAGGAATCAGTGATTATGATGTGGACTACTGGGACTTCTTACCAGCTGCCTCCCCTTTCCTGTCCTCTCCATATTGTACTATGACTTAACATTTCATAATCCCTCTTAAAACATGGCCCACTATGTTGTCACTTCTGTCTTAGAGTTACTGTTATGTGACAACTACTTGTGTACTTAAGCCCAGAGAGTAACGTTATATTTTGGGGCTTTTATCCTTTTTTTCAGAGAGAATAGGACAGTGGATAGAGCGAGTAACCATAGAGAGTGATTGTGGAGAAAGGGGCCTCAGGCTGGAAATGGACGCTGGCAACTCTACTTGGGTTCCAAAGTCTCTTTGTCAGCCTTGACCACTCGACTACCCCAGAGTTTCTTACCTGTATCACACACACTTTGGCTTTTGCTTTGTTTTTTTTCTAAATTAAATATATGTAGAGAAATTTTACATTATGCTCTGGTTGATGACAACACAGTGTATCTTTAATATGAGAAGAAAAATCAAAAAGAATAATGGAGAGCATGAATTTTGAGGTCTCGAGATTCAAAAAACATGGAGGTCACCTCAGTGTTTTGATTGATGTTGCAGGTTTCCTAAGAAGAAAAGAGTGCCAGTGAATCAGAAATTCAACATGAGAGAGACAGACCCTCTTAAGTGACATTTTTAGTTCTCTTGATTCAGCGCAGAACAAGAGCTTCCGGCTGTGATTGCACAAATAAACAATTACATTGTGTCTTGATTACTTCAGTGCCGACGCATGTTCCACAAGTCACCTTTTGGCAACTTTAAAGGCTTCACCAACTCACTGCTACCTGTTTTTGTTTAACAAATTTGTAATTACCACAGGAGTAGTGTGTCACTAACTCATTACGTAATAGTCTAAAAAATTCTTGTAGAGTAGGGGAAAACATCGGTGAGTTAATAGTCAAATTGATTACAATGTCATGTCTACCGTTACTCTGTGCCACACAATCATTCTGTCCTTTGATTTGTTCCCCTGCATTTGGAAAAATCAATTCTCCCAGGACTGAGAGAGAGCGAAAAGGGAGAGCGAGTCCCGGAGAGAGGAAGGGAGAGCGCTTCTGTTGCAGGACAAGGTGTAATGTGTTCTATTACAATCCCAATTGAGCCAGCAGGATGCTAAATTAAAGCTCATTTAAACGCTCCACCGCAGAGTGAATTCAAACCCAGGCTCCACGGCTGTTAGTCTGCCAAGAGATGTGTGTGCGGGCGTGTTTTTGTGTGTGTATGTGCACATCAGATAGAGTTTGTCTTCGTCCCTCATGCATGTCTTTGCAGAGGAAGCCTTAGGGCTGTAGCAGAATGCTTTAGGGTTTTTTTTTTCTTTTGTTTATTCTTTTTAACGCCAACATCTTTAAAGGTCAAAACTCCAGTGGGGTAAAAGTAGCTTCTGCTTTCCAGATACTTCATTATTAATCAGGGTGATGTTACGGCATAAAAAGGAGTGACACAATATGAGCTGAAAATCATTTGCCCTTGACTTGATTTCATGGCCTGAATTATTATCTTTTTAGCATTTTTCTGTGAATAAAAAAGTAGGATTCATGGTCCCACATGTGATAAAATAAAGTGTAAACACTTCTAAGCCCACTTGTTTGCATCCTGTCATGGTGAAGTATTCAAAGGGTTAAACTCCTTAAACCCTCTCAACTTCTACATGGGGATGTTAGCATGCATTTGGCTCATCTTAAAGCCACATTAATCTATACCAGCACAGGGGTATTTAGTGTGACTGTGGTCCCCTCATCCTGTAATCACAAAGAAGTCCAAGTGCCTAAGAGGGAGGCCTCCACTGCAGTTTGTCTGAGCAGCCTCTTCCTCTTTGAAAAACCTCTCTCTCCCCCACATGCCAATAGGATCACTGCTGCTTATCACAGGCTGAAGCAAGTCTTCTCTGAATATAAAACATTTGTACTACTGCCCTCTAGAGATTCTATGAAGGCACCGAATCTCCTCCCAAATAACAAACGTTATCATGGACCATCTTCTGTGTCTGCTTTCTCTAGGGGGACCGCAATGCACAGACTATGTGTAGAAGCAGAATGTGCTTCAAGGGAAATACGATGAGACCCAGATTTTTACTCAGACTGTGTGTATGTTTACTTTTGACAAGTTAACACGTGTAGACAGATCCCCACTAGACAGCCATAATAGTTGCTGACAGATGACTACTACATAGGCATTCAGCAGTGTTATGATAGGTAAGAGTGTAGTACAAGAAGAAGTGATGTCATTGACTCTTCTGTTAGCCCAATCATCACATTTTGACAGTATAAAATGTATGAACTATTGTGTAAATTTAAAAGAGAACTACAGCATTACTCTTTCCTCTGTGTTGTTGACTGAACTCATATAAAGAGTTAAAAACGGATGAACCGATTACCAAGTGGACAATCGAGGAACTGCAGTTTTATCCATTTGCAAAGGTTACCTCTTCCCTGCTGGTACGCCCAAAATATTACAGACTGAAGTCAGCTGACTTACTCGGTATCTAGACTTTTCCCCACATTTTTTAATCAATGAACCCTTTTTTTTATTTGATGTTGAACAAGATTATCACAACCAAAGGTGATCCGATGACTTTGAGTTTCAAGGAAAGCATTTAGATCATGGGGGAAAAGTATTAAAATTAATTTGAAGTTTTTATCTCTCCCATACTTTCCATACATTGTTGCCTCAGTTGTATGAGGACTAGCGTCTGGCACTGCTTCACTCCTCTCTCTGGCTGCTCTGTGAAGAGTGGATACGTGATTTCTTCTCTCTTGGACACCTGAGGAGAAGTACTATAGTGCCAGATTTTAGTCTTTCAGATCTCTACACCCTCCTCCAGCGCTGCTCTCCTCCTTACATAAACGGTCCCTTTTTATGCGTTTTAAGTTCACCCACTTATAATCTGGATGAGATAGCCTCCTTCTCCATATAGCTGTAAGCGGAATAACTCTTCCCTGCTTTGCTTTATCTCCATGTTCCTACAAGCAGGCTTGAATGGGGAAACCATTATCTCCGGGCTCACAAAAGAGCCAGACATCCACATTCAAGATGTTCTATACATGATATATTGATCAATTCGCAGAGACTAATAGCATTGTAATGAATGTAGAAGGGGACGGAGTTAATGTCTCTGGGGTTCATGCAAACTGCAAACTGCAAATGAAGCACTCAGTGACACAAAAGGTCTGGTCCAGTGAATTATAATTAGACCCCAGCCTCAATAAAAGTCAAGGGGTTGTTGCTCAGCCCGCCGCTTAATTTACTGCTGACACTGATGACAGCGGGAAGAAAGGGCTCTGGTTAGTTCAGGGTAAGATGTTGGAGTAATTTAGAGTGTTGATAGGACAGAACCAAGCCTTGAGAGCTGAATCAAGATTTTACGGTTGAAAGTGTGCCGATTTTTTGGATCATTCACAACAGTGCTTGGCAAGTTGTTTCTCAAGGTTGGGATTTACTTTTGAGAAGAATCTCACGTGAATAATTATGAAAACATTTAATTTCAGGGACAATCTCTGTGTTTTTATTCTTAAGGTTTTAAAAGAGAAGCCTGGGGATCTGGAGGGAAAAAAAGGAAGGTGCCAAGAACAGAATTACTGGGCCCTCTGAGTGGTGCTGCTTTCAGGGACCAGCTGACTGTGCTGGAAGTCATATTATAAAGGTCCACTTGCACAAGTTAAGGTTTCACTGACGAAAAAAAGAAAGAGGTAAAACAGTTTATTAACTTCTCACAAAAGCAGATAATTGCAGCCATTTTGAGGGATACTAGAGAAAAAGTTTAAAAAATAAACTTTTACAGAGTTTTCTGAGTCTTTACGCCCTGTGAGAAGATTTAAACTGATTAAAAATGAAGCATCAATGTTATACTGATGCCTTTTATGACCTACATAGTACAATGAGGTTATCAGTGACAAGTTGGGCTGTTTCTTTACAGTAAATTTTGTACCTGTGTTTGGGTCATATTTTCAGAGAAAAAAAAAAAAATTACATAATATTTGGCACCTGCTCAGATGTGATTTAGGACCTTGCCAGTTTAGTTTGGCAGTGAAAGGTAAGCAGACAGAGCTGGGCATGCATCCCTTGATCCATTAATCATTGTTTATCAGCATCAAATTTTAAATGGATTTTAAATATAGACATTAGTTTGAAAACAATTCTCTTCAACTTTAACTTTTTCACTGAAGCCATAGCATAGTATCACTCTGCCAACACATGCACCACATAGCTGGATGGATGGATCACAAACAACGTGAGCATGATCACACAGCCGTATAGATTTCCAATAATCCCTGGATCTTTGTGGATATGATGCTGTAGAGACTTTTCTATTGCAGCAGGAAGAGAGGCAAACCGTCAGAATGTCAACATTGGTGTTAACTTTTTTTGCGACCCAGTGTTTATAAACTAAAGTTTACGGTTGTTGTTGTATCACACTAATTTTTCAAAATCAATAAATAACTGCATCCTCCAAAAAGTTGTCTTAAATAAAAAGTTGTCATTAAAGAGATGTGTCTCATTGATCTGTATCTACAACAAAAAACATATAGCAAATGTTGTCCTCTTTCCTGAAAACGGTCTCTGAGTGATTTTGTCCAATGGGATCACCAGAATGAGCAGAACATGAAACTCCTTACAGTGCCTTTAAAAGAGAGAGAAAAAAATCACACAAAACAAGTGAGCCTAAAAAAAAACAAGCAGAAAATATGTAAAACCATGAATGACTTACTTACGATTTGCTTGATTTTATTAAAAATCTTTTATTACTAATAAAATGTGGGCATGTTTTACAGTATTGTACACTGTTTAAAATTTGTTTGATCTAAATAAACAGAAAAAAAAACATCTAATACCAAATAGTAAATGCAAGAACTTTAATGGTGAAACATAAAATCAATACCACAATTTCAATCAGCTGCACAAAAGTTTAGCAGCAATGAATTAGCTCAGTTGTTTGTACCAGCTAGAGTCAGATTTGATAGAGATGCACGATTATTCTAGTCATTTATTTTTTCTATATCACTTCAAAGCCGTGCACAGTAGAAACAACCTCAGGGATATAAATATTCTCCTGACAATTGCAGCCGATAAAAGTACCAACATTAGGCCATATGTAACTGCTGTGTCAGCTCTGCAGTCAAGTGCCTTTTTTCAACTCCAGCCAACCTCTTTTAATCTCCTCTCTTCTTTATGAATAATGCTAAGTATATTACTCACTGACAACAATGCCTCTCCCCTCAATTTATGTTCCAGCAACCTCACAGCACGAGAGACAATTTGTATCTTTCTATGCAGGCTCTCAGCTATATGTGCAGATGCAGGAGGGGGGGCATCTGTAGGCATCTGATATGCTGGGTTTTAGTAGGTAAGACAATGGGTGCCTCTGGAGTAATGTGCGATTTTCTTTTTCCTTTCAGAGGCCCCTGGAGTAATGTTGTGTGATTTTTTTTCCTTTTTCTTTATGGAAACCACTCGAGGCAAAGCCCACCTACGGCTCCATGTGTGAACACGCCTCTTTTTTTCCCCCCTAATCCGCTGCCATTCATTTGGAGCGGAGGACTAACAAAGATGACTTTTGACAACCCGAGAAATCAAACCTGCAGCTGTCAGAGCTTTTCTTGAAGAAAAAACAGAGAGGAAAAGGAGCAGCCTACACAGTCAGCTCTCTTCACACTTACCCTCTTCACTTAGCCAACGCTTACACACACGTAAACTCACACATACACACACACAATAATTCCTAGAAGCTTCGTCCTTCCCAGCCTCACCTTCCTCTGCTCAACAAGAACTCTTGCTGACACGTCCCTCAGAAAAAAGAGTGGAAGGAGAAAGAGTAAAGAGAGAGAGGGATGGAGGGAGGGAGGGAGGGGGGTTGAGTGAGGACAGAAGTGACATAGATAAAAAGGGGGAGAAAAAGCAGCTAAAAGGATTAAAAAGAGAATTAGCTCACGTTTCAGAGGGTTCACTTTGCTGATCTGGTGAGCATTTCAGTCAGAGAACCTCCATCCATCCCTCCACTCTCCCTCCCCATCCCTCCCTCTGCTCCTCCACTCTCTTTTTCCTGTCTCAATAGGTTGGTAGAATTAGCGGGACTCTTGGCAGCCACTCCGGGTGTCACTTCATGGGTTCACTAAGGGCACCGCTGCTCCTTTTCCTCGGGCTCAGGGTCGAAGAGACGATGAAATCTCGGCGCAGTTCAAGCTGAACAATGGCCGCCGTGCAGAAAACGTCTTGCTTGGGGGTGGTGGCTTGTGAAAAACTATGTTGTTCTGGGGCCCCATGCTCCTTGAATAGATTTGTTAAAGCCCCTATGGTTGGTTTATGCTAAACAGAGCACAAGCATGAGGGAGAGGCCCAAGCCAGAACATCACTACTTTGTGAGCAACTCGTCCACCCCCACCATGCACCGCACACTTTGATGCCTTTTTTTTTTTTTTTTGAGATGCCCACTGAAATCCAAATCTTTCTCCCCCTCTCTTCTCTTCCCTCCCTGCTCCCTCCATCCACCTCCTCCTCCCGCTTTCCCTTTTCTTCTATTTCTGCCATGCAAAGATAATCAGGTTTATGTAAAGTATGTGTGCTCTTTTGACAGTCGGCGATACCTCATTAATTCAATCACACCAAGCACCATTGTTCCCAAAGTGTTTGAAATGCGTACCGGGGAAGGGGGCCTTTTTTAATCCTGTCAATCAATGTTAACATTTTTCGAGCTGTTGCCATGGCTGAGGCCAGAGTTCATGAAAACAGAGAATATGAGCCAACAAAACAAGAATAAAGACTTATTTGAGATTGGTCTTTTTAAAAGGACATCGACCATGCACAAAAACACGAGAAGCAAATGTAGACAAGTTTGGACACTATAGCGTGGCTGAGAGGGGGCGAGAGAAAAGAGCATTTGGAAACCAAACAGGCACTATAAAACCTTGACCCGGGAGGGCTCTGGGAAAAACCTGATGAATCGCTCTCCGGAAGGACCGTGCTTTTTCTCCCCCTGCGCCTTCTCCAGTAGCACAATGACTAATACATTTCAACACATGACTCCAAGGGTTCAGCACTGTTGTAATGCTCTGCTGGAATGCTGCTACTACACCATGGAGGAATCATAACACAGGGGCTTTATTGGGAAGGATCATCTGTGTTATGCTTCTTTTCTGTTATTGATAACCTGAATGATCATGGAAAAAATAAAGGTGGAAACAGGAAATGTCTTAAAATTTGTCCATCCCTATAAAATCTATGCAAGCACATCTGCGAACACAAAAGAATCACTTTGAAAACAATCAAAGTAATACATATAAATGATTAGATATTGAGTTAAAATGGTAAGTTTTAAAAAGTAGTTGCATGCAGAAGAAACACACGGACACTTCCACACATTGAACCCAGCAGACAAATAGTCATGTCTGCCCTCTAGTTGCCACTAAGTCACTGACACTGCTGTATATCCTACAGAGAAAAAGCAAAAAGAGTGAGTTCACACTGCCCTCTGCATATATCATATATGGAATTTTTCTTTTTTCAAATGTTTTTTTTTTTTTTATTTTCTTCAATTATTACACAATATTTGAAAAGTTTACAGCTTGAAAATACTCAAGAAAGTATTATAAAGTTCCCAGATTTAAAAATCGGTGTGCCCAGCATCTTGAAACTAAACTCAATAACTTGTATTTTAGACTCCTGAACTCATTAAACAGTATAAACATATAAAAGTGTCTCCACAAAAAGCAATTAAGATATGAATCCAAACCAAGTGAATTTGGTTTGTCTGACAGCTGTTTTTCTGACCCCTGACAGTAGGGCTGAAATCACCACAAAGGTCAACCACATGTATTAAAAACCTTAATTAAATACCATATCAGTCTTATCAAACCCAAACAGATATGCAGCCAGTCACTGAAATAACACAACATCATGTTGGGGCAGAGATCTAGAGTCAGGGGGACCCCGATCCCTTCTTCTCTGTCCATTTACAACCTAATCTGTGGTGAGAAAGTGAAAAAGTAGAGTGAGAAGGAGGCAGATTAAGCCATTGAAGCGCCGGGGGTGCTTCCTACGCATCACTGCTTCCTTTCAGGCCAATTTAAACACTGTTTGTTTATTAGTGTCTTACGCATGGCATTAGTGGCCTGGCTTATCTCGGCACACACACAGAGGGGCACAATACGGCCCTGTTCAAAGCCCAGATATGACTGTGTGTGTGTGGAGGCTCAGTTGTTCAAGTCGGCGCTCTGACCTTGTTTAAGTAGTGAAAGACCATGTGAGACACGAATTATTGGACACCGATGCTCTTATGCTTTGTGTAAACATGCTCAGCACACCCGGTTGCTACACAGCTTCTGTGGCACTGACAAAAGACTTAAAGGTGCACAGAGGAGATTTGGTTTAAACTAATCTCTCTTCTCTGTTTACCATATATGCAAGGACATATCAGCTGCTGCTGCCATTGTCTGAGAAATACCTATGGTTGCGATATCAGATAACGGCTGGTGTAATCCCTTTTTCTCTCTTTGACCCTTACTAACCCAACCCTTTCGTTTTTCTAACTCAGCCTCTATTTTGCCACCTGTCTTCTTTTCATCTCTAATCCTTTTATTTTCTGTTTATTCAATATTTGATCTCCTGATTATGTTCTTCATTGTCTATGTTATTTTATTTCTGCATTGTAGTTTGTTAATATATTTAATCTACCATCACGAGCAATTAAATATATAAGAATAGAGGCTAAATTAGAAAGTTATACAGTATGTAATACCAGTTCTTATCAGATCCTCTTGCTGCCTTGAAAAGCTGCAGACACATTAAGTATGCAGTTAGTTTAATTAGGAAGAGTATTGATTAACCTGTCTGATTCTCTCATAAATCTAACACATCAGGCTGTGAGTGTATTTCATGTTATTTCGATGAGCACTTAGAGGCAAAACTTAACATTTCAAAGCATCTTATTTGCTGATTTGTTGTTCTGCAGAAACCTTTGCTTTTTTATTGACTGTAAATCTATTCAAAAGGATGTTTTAGTGCCCTTGGTAATAATATTACTGTTTTTTTATTTGCAACTCTGCAAAAGAAGATTAGGAATGTGTTAAATATTTGACTTAAATCACAATATTTTACAAAGTTGCAGAAGCCAGGTGGTACGATAAATCATTTTGTCATTCCAGCACCTCGAACAATGAAAAATAAAAACTCTTATCCTGCAAACAGTCAGGGTTCCTCATAGGATTGTTGGTTTTCAAGCTCTACATTGACACATTAACAAAAACTAACCACTGTACTTTTGACAACTTCTGCCACAGCTTAAATGCAGATACCTATGTTAGTGTAGTAAGCTTTGTGGCAATAATCATACTCAGACACCTAAATTTACCTTATCATAACATCATCTTTGTTCATTAGGTCTGCCCTTAAAAGCCCATAATGGCACTGACGTTAAGCATGCTCATTTAACAATTTGGATTGTAACACAATTGAGAGCCCTGAAATTAAAGGTCATTATAGAAAACTTATAGAAGTCAATGCCTTTATAAGCTGCTTTTCATGCAGACCAATCTACAGCTATACTCTATACAAACAACAGTGAACTGACTTCTCACCGGAAATGAGTCACATCAATTGAGTAAGGAAGATTAAGGGGAAATAAAAAGGGAGGCAAATGTCACTCTGAGACACCCAAATATTTACTTTACTAATATATTTGCTAACACACACAAAGACAAAAAAAAACAGCTTTGGTTAAGATTTAGTTTAGAGATCATAATTCAACCAAAATAAAAAATGAATTTTTTTTAAGTCTTAAGAAAACCAGTACTTAAATATTACCTTTATTTTCAAGGCTGTATGCTTTTTTCCTTCCCCTTTTTTGTACTGCCACTCTTCAGAGGTACATGAACATCAATTGAGAAATAAGATATTTAAATGAAAGTCATGTAGCTCAATCAAGAGAGTGACAATGGCAGATTTTTACAGAAATGTTCTGTCTTCTGCAATAACAGATAGAGGAAAGATCAATTATATAACACACATCGTGATGCATCATGTCCATGTGTGATAAATATAGCTCAACCGGTATGAAACAAAAATGAAACAGCTTAATTTTTGAATAAAGAACCTCCATAACATTCAGGATGTCTAAATGTAATTTCATCTCAGGAAAATAAGATGTAAATCAAACGCCATGAAAGCATTTTCACACTGTGTAATGATATTACTGAAATGTCTGCAGACAAACTTTTTTATCTGTGTCTTTTATGCGATTAATCTTCAGGGCAGAAATATATGGAATACACTGCATGTAACACACGTGTCGAAAGCAATCTCTGCTGCAGAATCAGAGACATCTTCATTGTGTGAGTGAAGACAACATCCATCAATGTTGCATGAAAATAATTTGCCGGCTTTATTCAATCTACATACGTCTTCGCCCCCCTCTTTGCTCTACCTCCAAAACTCACTCAGATGAGACGCGGCGAGATTGTTATCTTGCCTCGCCTTTGTATGAAAATCAAATTGGGAATTGCTTTTTTCCTTGATTCACTTCCATGCAAACAAAGAAGTTGTTTTCTTATTTTCATGTAAATGTCTTTTTTATAGAAGGCGACAAGTGTAATCAATCTTCCTCAAGACAAGGTAGGAGGGCCTGCCGAGGGGGGATTATTGGTGCTTAGTAGCCCGGGGATCATAAAACAAGGAAATTGAAAGTGATATTTAATTGACACTGCCATTTCCACTTGCATGGCGAAGACTCGTCCCCCTATCGCAACGTCTCGCCCAGCACGCCAGGCCATCTCGCCTGCCTCAGGTGAAGACAGGGGAGGAAAAAAACTCGCCGGAGCAAATTTCCTTTCAAACCCTCCTCTAGAACCTGGAGAGCAAGCTGTCAATCTCCGAGCACAGCGCTGTGAAAGAGACAAGGAAGGGAAAGTTTTGTGTAGAGGGAAATAGGTTTCAAAATGTCACCCCATCAGCATGGGGCACCGTACTCTGAGGGAAGTGAAACATGATCGACAC